TCGCCCACTTGGCCCAACGGTAGCGGGTTATGTCATCGCCCCCCATTGTGCTTCTGGTCGTCGGTTCCATCTTTGTCCTGGGCATCAGCCTGGTGCCCCCCCACACAAATTTGGTCCGGCGGCGTCGGCCATTGGTGAATACCCCGCTGGCAGCACTCCTCGCCTTCAACATCCTTTTGTAAGCCCTGCTGCTGTTGCTGCTGTCCCTCTACATCTGCTGCCTGCTGGCAGGCCTGTTTGCTGCTGCCCTGCTGTTCTGATGGTCTGCGCTGCTCAGCCTGCTGCCTCCTTCCTTTGGCGGGACAGCGAGGCCTACTGCACCCTCCCTCCTCTGCGGCTGTGTCCGACCCTCTCTGCTCGACTGCACCATCACCCCCCGCTGGACACGCCACCCCTCTGCCACCTGGGTTGCGCTGCAGCAACTATGCCGCCTGCGTACTGCGGCCCGCTGGACCAGTGCAGCGCTACCTGCAGCAGGCCGCACTCGACGCCTCGGGGCGGGTGCGCCGGGGCGCGCTGGATGGCTGCCGCTACTGTCACCGCTGCTGCTACTACAAACCAGCGACGGCACACCACTGCCGGTCCTGCAACTGCTGCGTGGTGGAGCTGGACCACCACTGCTGGTGCGAAGCGCAAGGGGCCGCAGCTTGTTGACTGCTGTTATCTGGCGGCCTGGCGAGGTGTGTGCTGCCTGCATTTCTTTCGTGCACCCCATGAAGCGCCGCCTCTGCCCGTCCAGGTACATAAATAATTGCACAGGCGCTGCCAACCTGCGCAACTTCCTGCTATTCCTGACGTGGCTTTTGGCGGGCGTGGCGTACGGCCTGGCACTGGGCTTGCTGATGGGGTGGAGGGACAGGCGCGCATTGTGGCAGCACACGCTCAGGGTGCTGCAGGTGGGCTTCGCTAGTGTCTGCTGCCTAGTTAGACAGCCGCCCTCTTGTTTTGAGTTGCTCGACAGTTGGCCGCCCCAGTGTGTTTTTAGTGGCTCGGCCCCTGACAGTTGGCCTCTCTGGTGTGTGTCGAGTCGCTCGATCCCTGACAGTTGGCCGCCCCGGTGTGTTTTGAGTCGCTCACCCCCCTCCCCACCTCTTGAATGGGCCCGGCTGAGCGCAGGGCACGAGCCACATGAACCCTGTGCTGCGCATGCTCAGCTTCAGCCTGACCTGGCTGCTGTGGGCGCCGCAGTGGCTGGCCTGCTGGGCTTATTTTACAATGGGTGGGTCCCGCATGCATTGGCCACGCCAGTGTGCGGCCTCGGCCTTGCCTCACCGTGCCTACCCGCCTGCTCTGCAGTGTGCTGGGCCACCCTGGTGTCAGTGGGCCTGCTGTTCAGGCGCCAAGTGGGGCTGCTGCGGCAAGGGCAGACCTACCTGGACACGCTGAGCCAGCAGCAGCAGCAGCAGCAGGATGAGCAGGCAGCACCCACAGCACCGCCAGCAGCGCCTACAGCAACAGCGGCAGAAGCACCCATGCCGTCAAGCGCACTGGCGACGCCAGCAGCACTACCACTGCCGGCAATGCTGCCGGCCATGCACCATGTGCGGCATGTGTTTGGTGGCCGCCATCCGCTCACCTGGCTGCTGCCTGCCTGGGAGGTGCCGCCAGCAGAGGCTGGCCGGCGGGCAAAGGTCAGCTAGCTGGGTGAAGCTCGTGAGCAGATGTTGCTGACCATCAACAATGCCTGCCCCCTGTGTAATGCACATGGTGGCGCTGCTTTCATGGCGGCTGCTTAACAGTACTAGTAGGGGAGGGGAATCTATGTGCAAGACATCAACAGGGGGATCACGGGGGGTGGGGTGGGGTCGTGGTAATGTTCAGGGGTGGGGGGGGTAAATCACAGGTCATCATAGGGAGGGGCAAATCAACCAAGGGTCGCAGTGCTTCCTGTCTCTTCAGGTGCATGGGGGTAGCAACATCCAGCCGGCGCCGGGCAAGCATTGTCCACCTCCGGAGCTGCGTGCCTCAAGCCTCAAACTCGATGACCACATCCCACAGCTTCTCCAGGCGGTACACACCGCTGGCCACAATGCCTGCAACGCGGCACCGTGGCCAGGGATCCGGATGGGCAGGCGGCGACGCACGCGGTCGAAAGGGAGGCCACCAGCAGAACCCTCGTTCAATGACAGGGTAAGGCCAGCGGACTTACCCACGGTGCGGGTGGCCTTGGAGCCGAAGCACTGGTACTTGAAAACAGCGCTGCCCATCAAATCTTTGTTCGACCGGTTCTGCAGGCCGCCCGGATGAACAGGATAGGTCAGGGGAGCTGTGCCACAGGCATGTGTATGTTGTGGAACTGTGGGCGGGACGGGTGCGCAGGATTGCATCGCTTGCACACAGTGTGCAGCAGGTGTGGGAACGAGCGCAGTCACGCACCTGGTAGGCCAGGCAGCCAGACAGGGGCTTGATGTCCAGCAGGGTGAAGCCCACGTCGCAGTATGGGAACTTATTGGTCTTGAACACACCGCCGATCAGCTGTGCAAGGAAGAGAAGAAAACGGAAGAGGATGGGCGAGTTGTTCGCGGCAGCACGAGTTGCCAGAGGGAGCCTCGATTAGCTGCAGGCCAGGCAAGGTGCTCTCACTACGGGTAAGCCCACCTTGCTTGTGTGGGCTTAAAGTCTGGTAAAGCAAGAACTAGCTTGCAACATAGACTCCCCGCCGAAACGGGACGGGAACCGGGCGAAAGCAGAGAAAGCAATAAAACAGGGGTGGAGCAAGGCGACATGCAACGCAAGCAGCTGACAGGGCACGCATCGAAACGTGTGTATGACTGGCAAAGTGGCATGGCGCATTGGGGAGAAACGCAACGGTACGGGAGCATGGGCTGGCCAAACGGCAGTGCGGAACGCTAGGTCACTAGAAAAGCAGGGAAAGGCGCACTATGTATGCAATGAGGGCAGCCCCGGCTCGGGGCCGTTGAGAAAGCAGTGGGCGGGAGGGGGGAGGCCCCGGTGTGGGCGGGCCCCATCGAGGGGGGATGGGGCGCGCAAGCGGCC